GGACGTGGACAGCGGCAGCCCCACTCTGCGCGCTTCCAGAAGGGCCCGGGCCGCCCTGTTTTGTGGAAGAGCCGGGCCAGAGAGCCGCACGTGGCTCGAGAGCCGCGGTTTGCCGACCGCAGGTGTGGGCCATGTAGCCAGGATTTTAAAAAAATATATATATATATATATATATTTTATAGATTTTTTTTTTTTTTTTTACAGAGAGGAAGAGAGAGGGATAGAGAGTTGGAAACATCGATCAATGAGAGAGAATCACCGATCAGCTGCCTCCTGCATGCCCCCCACACTGGGGATGTGCCCGCCACCAAGGTCCATGCTCCTGACCGGAATCGAACCTGGGATCTTCCAGTCCGCAGGCCGGCGCTCTATCCACTGAGCCAAACCGGTTTCGGCAGGATTTTTAAAAAATATATATTTTTTATTGATTTTTTTTACAGAGAGGAAGAGAGAGGGATAGAGAGTTGGAAACATGGATGAGAGAGAATCACCGACCAGCTGCCTCCTGCATGCCCCCCTACCGGGGATGTGCCCGCCACCAAGGTGCATGCCCCTGACCGGAACCGAACCCGGGACCTTCCAGTCCGCAGGCCGAGCACACCGGCTTCGGCTCACCTTGGCCTTGGACGTGAACAGCGACGTGGGGAAGAGGTGCAGGGGGAGGTGGGAGGTGTAGAACCGCGGGTCGGCCTGCCTGTTGATGCCCCCTACCCCGGTGGCCTTCTCCAGCCACGGCGAGCGCTCCCAGCTGACCACCGACTGCACCCAGCGGGGGTCGCCCCGCGTGTGCACCAGGTGGACGATCTCCAGGATCCAGGTGGTGCCTGCGCAGCCAAGGACACGGGGCCTCCTGTTTCAGTCCGACCTTTGACTCCATCGCGACGCGCCGTTTATTTTTAATACGTTTTTCTTTTTATTGGTTTTTGTTTTAATGATGCATTTTTAAATAGATATTTTATTGATTTTTTTTTTTTTTTTTTTTTTTTTTTTACAGAGAGGAAGGGAGAGGGAGAGAGAGTTAGAAACGTCGATGAGAGAGAATCACCGACCAGCTGCCTCCTGCACGCCTCCCACCGGGGATGTGCCCGCCACCAAGGTGCATGCCCCTGACCGGAATCGAACCCGGGACTTTCAGTCCACAGAGGGTCCTCTATCCCTCTATCCACTGAGCCACACCGGTTTCGGCACCATCACTACATTTTATGTATGTGTGTGTATGTATGTGTGTGTGTATGTGTGTGTATGTATGGGTCTCTCTGTGTGTATGTGTATGTGTGTCTATGTGTGTGTGGGTATGTGTATCTGTGTGTGTGTCTGTGTGTGTCTATGTGTGTGTATGTATGTGTGTGTGTCTGTGTGTGTTGCATGTGTGTGTGCATGTGCGTATGTGCATGTCTGTGTGTGTCTATGTGTGTATGTGTCTTTGTGTGTGTCTCTGTGTGTATGTATGTGTGTATTGTGTGTGCGTGTCTGTGTTTGTATGTGTGTGTATGCATGTCTATGTGTGTTTGTGAGTGTATGTGTGCATGTATATGTGTGTGTGTGTGTGTGTGTATGTATTGAATATGCTCCTATCACTTTGCCATTCCAAAACCTTTCTTGGAATGACATTGTCTTTGGACAATTGCCTAATTGCTCACCGTGACTCCCAGATGCCTGGATGCCAGCTGGCCTGGCTCGGTGGCTGAGACAGATACATTGAAGAAAAAAAAAAAAAAACCCCACAGGAATAGCCAGCACGGGGAATAGAGTCCGCACATGGTAATCCCCGTGGGTGGGGCCAGGTGGAGGCTGGGGATTTGGGGGTGGGGGGTCACTCTGTAAGGTGCATAAACATCCAATCACGGTGCTGTGCACCTGACACTAATACACGGCATGTCCACTGTCATCAAGAAATGAATTACTGCCCTATCCAGTGTGGCTCAGTGGATAGCGCCTCGGCCTGCGGACTGAAGGGTCCCAGGTTCGATTCCGGCCAAGGGCACATGCCCAGGTTGCAGGCTCTATCCCCAGTAGGGGGCGTGCAAGGGGCAGCTGATCAATGATTCTCTCACCATTGATGTTTCTCTCTGTCTCTCCCTCTCCCTTCCTCTCTGAAATCAATTTTTTTTTAAAGAGCCACCCAGTGCTGCTCAGTGGTTGAGCATTGGCCTATGAATCACGTTCGATCCACATCAGGACATGTGTCTGGGTTGTAGACTAGATCCCTCGTATAGGACATGCAGAAGGCAGGTGACTTATGATTCTCATCATGGATGTTTCTCTTTCTGTCTTCCTCTCCCTTCCTCTCTGAAGTCAATAAAAAATATGTATTTTTGAAAATCAATGGGAGCCGAAGCCGGTGTGGCTCAGTGGATAGAGCATCGGTCTGCGGACTGAAAGGTCCCAGGTTCGATTCCAGTCAAGGGCATGTACCTTGGTTGCGGGCACATCTCCGGTGGGGGGTGTGCAAGAGGCAGCTGATTGATGATTATCTTTCATCAATGTTTCTACCTCTCTGTCCCTCTCTCTCTCTGTAAAAAAAAAAATCAATAAAATATATTTTAAAAATAAAAATAATAAAATAAAATAAAAATCTACACCAATAAAAGAGCAACATGCTAATTGACCGAGGGAGTATGCAAATTAACCCAACAAAGATGGAGGGTTAATTTGCATCCGCAGGTGCCAAGTGCCACAGCAAAGACCCAGGCCTTCCGCGCCCCTGGGCAGCATGGGAAGGGGGAAAGAGGGCTCGGGGCCACGGCTCCCGGCCAGGCGAAAGGGCGGCTCCCGGCCAGAGTGAAGGGGGAGCCAGCAGCCAGGGGAAGGAAGGCCCATGCTGGCACAAATCTCCGTGCACCAGCCTCTAATAAGAATAAGATTCCACATTGATTTCCCCCCCCCCACCACCATTTAAACACATCCAGCCTCATCCCCTGACCCTGTGCTATTCCTATCCTCTGCCGGAAACCAACCAGTTTTCACTAGAAGAGAGATGTGGACAGGAAGCCAGGAGGGCTGGCCCACAACCTTGGCTGCTCTAACCACTCACCCTTCAGCGGAGACATGGTTAGCTGAGGCAGCCTCCACCTCGTTTGTCCCGTGTAAGTGTCTGTTATTTCCCGCCTAAGGGCCACATGTAAATTCCTGTGTCTCCTGCCTAAGATGCTTTCCCCAAAGCCTCACTAAAAGCCATGGCAGGGCCAGAGCGAGCAGGGAGTAGTTCTCCCACGAGAGTTGGACTGCCGCCTGGCCCCCCATATCGCACAATTGAATTTCTTCAAGTCTCTCTTTTCATGTGTGTGCAGCCCTTCTCCAGAACCCGAACCCTGAGCTGGAACCCTTTCCACGCGGGGCGTGAAAGAGATTCCTACGGTCCTGTTATTTTTCTCAGGTTCCTGACCGTCCCTCCGTGTATTTCACGTCTAGACCATCCCCCACGTCACCCGCCCTGCTCTGTCCCCTCTCCGACTCTGCCAGAGGCCCTTCTCTCTGACCAAACGCCAGCCAGACTCCCGAGTCCTCTCCGCGACCAGATCTGGACGGTCTGTGGCCGTGCTTGCTGAGCCACGGTCAGCGCGTCCGTCACGAGAACCCTCTCGCCCCGGGATATCATAGCTCAGCCCCATCCCCACCCTGGATGTCCCGTGCCTTGTTACAGCGTGGATCTTGTTTGGGCTGTTTTTTCTTTTGTTTGTTTGTTTTTTGCAAGAAACGTCTAACCCTTGATGTCTCATGAAATCCTCGTGGTAATTTTGCATCCACTGACCACCTCCTCGCTCTGCACATCACCTACCAATCCCCGGCTACCTGTTACTTTCAGAGTTAATTTTAGTCTCTCTCTCTCCTCTCTCTCTCTCTCTTCTCTCTTTCTCTTCTCTCTCTCTCTTCTCTCTCTCTCTATCTCTTCTCTTTCTCTCTCCTCCTCCTCCTCCTCCTCCTCCTTCCTCTCTCTCTCTCTCTCTCCACTAATCTGGAATCAAGTCTCCCTGCCCATTTTATCCAGTGTCAGAATAGATGCAATGTGCCCCTCACCACATCACATTTGCTGTGGGCATCTCAGGATAGAGGGCTCTCAGGTATCCTGTCTCCTATATTTATTTATTTTTCGGTTTTCTGAATCCTCACCCAAACATAGTTCTCCATTGATTTTTTTTTTTAGAGAGAGTGGAAAGGGAGGGAGGGATGGAGAGAGAGACAGAGACAGAGACAGAGACAGAGGTGAGAGAGACACACAGATTGGTTACTTCCCACAGGCACCCTGACCGAGGCCGGGGACCCCTCGTGCAGCCCAAGTGCACGCCCTTGACTGGGAATCAAACCCAAGACGCTCCGTGCACAGACACACGTCCTAACCATTCAGACCACTCCCGCTAGGCGCCTGTCCCCATCAAACGCCCAAGGCCATCACCGGAGCCGTCGCCCTGCTGGTCACACCCCGTTAGGTCACCCAGCCTGCGTGGACCCCTCTTCCTGGCGGGTAACCACACCGGTCACCAACGCAGAGTCCGGGCGAGGCCAAGAGCAGCCGCCTGCGGGCCCCCTCCCCAGCTCCCCGCTGTCTCTCCCGCCTCCTCACCTGACTTCGGGTAAGACACGGTGACGATGTCCCCATCCCTGACCACAAACCCGTCCCGCAGCGCCCCGAGGTCCCCCGTGGTGGTCGAGAGGAAAGGGACCCCTTCGACCCACGTGTAATCCCTGCTCAGGGCCGCCACCCAGGCCAGGCTCCCCGGCTCCGTCATGCTGTCCTGGCCACGGCCACGGGGACAGGCTGCTCTGCTTCCTGGTTCTGGCTCAGATTTTATCTGTGCTGAGAAGAGGTGCATATGCCAATCCCACCGGGCATCTGCCAGAACGCCCTTCTGGACAGAGCCACCGTGGCAGGGGTGGAGGCAGAGGCGGCGGTGAGGGGGCGATCAGGCTGGCAGGGGAGGGCAGTTAGGGGGCGATCAGGCTGGCAGGGGGGAGCAGTTAGGGGGTGATCAGGCTGGCAGGGGAGGGCAGTTAGGGGGTGATCAGGCTGGCAGGGGGGAGCAGTTAGGGGGTGATCAGGCTGGCAGGGGGAGCAGTTAGGGGCGATCAGGCTGGCAGGGGGAGCAGTTAGGGGGTGATCAGGCTGGCAGGGGGGAGCAGTTAGGGGGCGATCGGGCTGGCAGGGGAGGGCAGTTAGGGGGTGATCAGGCTGGCAGGGGGGAGCAGTTAGGGGGCAATCGGGCTGGCAGGGGAGGGCAGTTAGGGGGTGATCGGGCTGGCAGGGGGGAGCAGTTAGGGGGCAATCGGGCTGGCAGGGGAGGGCAGTTAGGGGGTGATCAGGCTGGCAAAGGGGAGCAGTTAGGGGGCAATTAGGCTGGCAGGGGAGGCAGTTAGAAGTGATCAGGCTGGCAGAAGAGGTGATTAGGATCGATCAGGCTGGCAGGGGAGGGCAGTTAGGGGTGATCAGGCTGGCTGGGGGGAGCAGTTAGGGGTGATCAGGCTGGCAGGGGGAGCAGTTAGGGGGCGATCAGGCTGGCAGGGGGGAGCAGTTAGGGGGTGATCAGGCTGGCAGGGGAGGGCAGTTAGGAGTGATCAGGCAGGCAGGGGGAGCAGTTAGGGGGCGATCAGGCTGGCAGGGGGAGCAGTTAGGGGGTGATCAGGCTGGCAGGGGGAAGCAGTTAGGGGGCGATTGGGCTGGCAGGGGAGGGCAGTTATGGGTGATCAGGCTAGCAGGGGAGGGCAGTTAGGGGGTGATCAGGCTGGCAGGGGAGGGCAGTTAGGGGTGATCAGGCAGGCAGGGGGAGCAGTTAGGGGGCGATCAGGCTGGCAGGGGAGGGCAGTTAGGGGTGATCAGGCTGGCAGGGGGAGCAGTTAGGGGCGATCAGGCTGGCAGGGGGAGCAGTTAGGGGGTGATCAGGCTGGCAGGGGGGAGCAGTTAGGGGGCGATCGGGCTGGCAGGGGAGGGCAGTTAGGGGGTGATCAGGCTGGCAGGGGGGAGCAGTTAGGGGGCAATCGGGCTGGCAGGGGAGGGCAGTTAGGGGGTGATCGGGCTGGCAGGGGGGAGCAGTTAGGGGGCAATCGGGCTGGCAGGGGAGGGCAGTTAGGGTGTGATCAGGCTGGCAAAGGGGAGCAGTTAGGGGGCAATTAGGCTGGCAGGGGAGGCAGTTAGAAGTGATCAGGCTGGCAGAAGAGGTGATTAGGATCGATCAGGCTGGCAGGGGAGGGCAGTTAGGGGTGATCAGGCTGGCTGGGGGGAGCAGTTAGGGGTGATCAGGCTGGCAGGGGGAGCAGTTAGGGGGCGATCAGGCTGGCAGGGGGGAGCAGTTAGGGGGTGATCAGGCTGGCAGGGGAGGGCAGTTAGGAGTGATCAGGCAGGCAGGGGGAGCAGTTAGGGGGCGATCAGGCTGGCAGGGGGAGCAGTTAGGGGGTGATCAGGCTGGCAGGGGGAAGCAGTTAGGGGGCGATTGGGCTGGCAGGGGAGGGCAGTTATGGGTGATCAGGCTAGCAGGGGAGGGCAGTTAGGGGGTGATCAGGCTGGCAGGGGAGGGCAGTTAGGGGTGATCAGGCAGGCAGGGGGAGCAGTTAGGGGGCGATCAGGCTGGCAGGGGGAGCAGTTAGGGGGTGATCAGGCTGGCAGTGGGGAGCAGTTAGGGGGTGATCAGGCTGGCAGGGGAGGGCAGTTAGGGGGTGATCAGGCTGGCAAAGGGGAGCAGTTAGGGGCGATCAGGCTGGCAGGGGGAGCAGTTAGGGGGCGATCGGGCTGGCAGGGGAGGGCAGTTAGGGGTGATCAGGCTGGCAAAGGGGAGCAGTTAGGGGGTGATCAGGCTGGCAGGGGAAGGCAGTTAGGGGCACTCAGGCCGTCAGGCAGAGGCGGTTAGGGGCTGTTGGAGAGGAGGGCAGGCAAGTGGTGAGGAGCCAGTGGTGTTAGACTGCTAGAGGGTGCAGGCCGGGCTGAGCCCGCCCCCCTGCCCCACGCACACATTTCTTGCACTGGCCTCTGTGTGATATGAAGGGCAGGCCATCCAGGCTTCCGATGACAACGGGGGAAACTGGAGGGTCACCGTTCTCTGGAACAGCCATGAGCTAGCGAGCTCGGAGCACTGTGTTGAGGACTGTGAGTTCATTTCCTAAGAGGGGAGCCTGCAACGGCTAACAAGCAAAGAGGAGATACAACACACAGGAGCCCTGGCCGGTGTGGCTCAGTGGATAGAGCATCGGCCTGCGGACTGAAGGGTCCCAGGTTCGATCCCGGTTAAGGGCACATGCCTGGGTTGTGGGCTAATTTTCCCCAGTGGGGGGTGTGCAGGAGGCAGCCAATCCATATTCTCTCTCATCATTGATGTTTTTGGTGTGTTTTTTAAAAATATATATGTTTTATTGATTTTTTTTACAGATAGGAAAGGAAAGAGATAGAGAGTTAGAAACATCGATGAGAGAGAATCATCGATCAGCTGCCTCCTGCACACCCCCCACTGGGGATGTGCCCGCAACCAAGGTACATGCCCTTGACCGGAATCGAACCCGGGACCCTTCTGTCCGCAGACCGACGCTCTATCCACCGAGCCACACCGGTTTCGGCAGCCCTGACCAACTTTAAAATCTTTTTTTTTTTTTTCCTTGAGAGTTTTCGGCTGAAAATATTCGCGAACACCCGAATTGCAAGGAACATCCTCATTTTTATCACATTCACCGCACATTGATTTTCCTTCATTAAATTCAAACTAGTGTGGCCGAAACCGGTTTGGCTCAGCAGATAGAGCGTCGGTCGGCCTGCGGACTGAAGGGTCCCGGGTTCGATTCCGGTCAAGGGCATGGACCTTGGCTGCGGGCACATCCCCGGTGAGAGGCAGCTGGTCGATGACTCTCTCTCTCATCGATGTTTCTAGCTCTCTCTCCCTCTCCCTTCCTCTCTGTAAAACATAAATAAATAAATAAAATATATATATAAAAATTCAAACGATCGGTGTGTGTGTGGATGGTTTGGACGGGAAGCAGTTAACTCTAACGCCACGATCACACTAGGTGGACGGTATCTGCCCATGTCCGCGAGCCGATGGCGTTGGTAGGGTGTGTGTTTGTTTTGTATCATCCTTCTACTGCGACGTGGGCCAACATTGACTCGGCTGTTCCGAATCAGGTGGGCTCGGCCAACACACAGTGAGCCCCGGGGACTGCCGGCTGCCGATGCGACCAAGTCCGTGCCCCGTGGATCAGGGGACTTCAACATTTGTTCACAGACGGAGAGATGTTTCCAGAAAATAAGTCCCACGTCCTGTGTGTCATTTATTTAAGAGATGAAAGTAGGAATCGCTTTCCCTCTGTGTAAATGTTTAACCTCAGAGTACACAGAGAGAAGACAGAAGAGAAACGCTTGCTTCTCTTTTTTGGTGTGTGTGTGTGTGTGTGTGTGTATTTGGGGACGATGGGTCATGCACACGGCATAGTTTGAAGTCAGAGAGTCTCTTATAGGCAGCATATAGATGGGTGTTTTTTGTTTCGTTTTTTAAATCTCTATCTTTTTAAAAAAAATATGTTTTATTGAGTTTTTACAGAGAAGAAGGGTGAGGGATAGAGAGCTAGAAACATCGATGAGAGAGAAACATGCATCAGCTGCCTCCTGCACACTCCCTACTGGGGATGTGCCCGCAACCAAGGTACATGCCCTTGACCAGAATCGAACCCAGGACCCTTCTGTCCACAGGCCGACGCTCTATCCACTGAGCCAAACTGGTTTCGGCTACCTTCAAATTTCTGAATCTATCTACATATTGACCTGTGCCAGTGAGATTTATAACATCATGTTTTCTTGTTACTAATTACTGTTCTTTCATTTGAAAAAGTCCCTTTAACATTTCCTATAAGTCTGGTCTAATGGTGACAAACTCATTTAGCTTTGCTTATATGGAAGAAAAAAAAAAAGATCTTTTTTAAAACTTCTGAATAATAACGTGATTGGGTAGAATATTATTTTTTAAATATATTTCATTGATTTTTTTTTTTTTACAGAGAGGAAGAGAGAGGGACAGTTAGAAACATCAATGGTGAGAGAGAATCATTGATCAGCTGCCTCTTGCACACCCCACACTGAAAATGGCGCCTGCAACCCAGGCAGGTGCCCTTGACCAGAATGGAACCTAAGATCCTTCAGACCACAGGTGGGTGCTCCATCCACTGAGCCACACCAGCTCAGGCAGGCAGTGTGGTTTTCATGAAATGAGTAAAAGAGCCACTGGGATTTTTTTTTTTTAATATTTTTTAGAAAACATGGGGGACCAGATGGGAAAACTTCCTTCCCTCCAATGGAGAAGCTGTCTGACTTGTGGGTCCCGTTGGCTTTGATTCACTGGAATACACATTTGCCCAGTGGGAATGCATCCAGCTCTCATGGATGAGCCCAGGGGTTTGGACAGAGCAAAGATAAAGCCTGGTAAACAGTAGAAGGGCTATCAGGCGGTGGGATTGCCTTGAGCCATTTGGCCCACAGCAGGGCAATATTGTGCTGATTAACATGCAACGACTGACTGTTGGTCTTTGCCTCTGGGATCTCCCCCTTTTTGTTTTCTTAATAAATTTACAAAGGTGGCCGAAACCGGTGTGGCTCAATGGATAGAGCATCAGCTTGGGGACTGAAGGGGTCTCGGGTTCGATTCCGGTCAAGGGCATGTATCTTGGTTGCAGGCATATCCCCAGTAGGGGGTGTGCAAGAGGCAGCTGATCGATGACTGTCTCTCATCGATGTTTCTAACTCTCTATCTCTCTCCCTTCTTCT